TGCGCATGAAGACGTGAACTGGAAAGGACATCAGGACACATACCAAAGGTTAAGGAATGGAGAACGAATGCCAAAAAAAAAAAAAGGCACAGACTTCAATTTCCAGACTATTACACTTAAAATGGGAAGTACCGGAGGCACTAATATACACCTAGAAGAAGACCATCTGTGTCAAAACGCTTTGTTTTGCTTTCTATGTCAATATGCCACTTTTTATGTATTTGTTTCATTTTTATTCCATATTAACGTATACCTGTTTGAAATTATTCATCAGAGTTCCTGCATTGTTCCTGATCTTGGAAGGCAGAAAGACCGGGTGCGACTAGAAAGGCATTCAAACATCGGGTGATGTAAGCCAGAGTCTGCTATATGGGGCTCTTGGAAATGTGAGCGCCCAATGGAATTCCCATTTTATAGTAAATGATTTAAACATATTACTCAATGAGAGTATTGCTTTATGTTTCTTCTCCAGATTTGTTACTGCATTTAAGGCTAAACATCTTTCTTCAACTGAAGAGAAAGCGTTTGTATTATTCACAGCACAATTGAAGGTTTAGTAACTATGTTCCCTATCTCTTATTGGCTGATCATAGACATCAGGGGTAGCTGCATCCAAACCTAGCCTAGCACTCAACACACCTCACATACACTTTTTTGTTTTTGCATTTTTGTACTCATTTTTTTTTTTGCTTTATTGGACATGAAACCCAGCTCACACGGGCAGACTTCTTGTTCATTATGGCAAACTAAGCTGGTAATTTGCTCACACCCACACCCACAAAAACAAAAACATCCTCTTCTCTATCCTATCCCTCTTTTTTTCTAGTGCCAGGAACAGCACTCCAAATGAAGAACCAAAGCGAGCATGTTCTTGATTGTGTGTGTCAGTTCCGCTGAGATTTTGGCATGTGGTGGCTCAGAAACAGTTTGGACCGAAATGAATCTCCAAGTCTAGATGGTCAAAACCATATTTTTAGTCTAATTTATAATATTTCAATTCAATGTCAAACAACACAGGAAAACAACCCAAGAAGGAAAATGCATTTAAATATTTTCAAATGCAACAAAGAACTTTTTAAATAACATGTTCTAAAGATTCACCTACTAAGTGACCAAATCTAAAGAACTGCGGCTGGTAATTACACAGTGTGACACAGGAACAGCTTTCAACATAAACATTAACTGTGTACTAGCTACCTTCATTATCTGGGATATCTAAACTCATTAAACTACGACACTGGAAGCAAACAAGAAATCTCAAACAAATGGAAACTGAAACTAACACAGCCATCAAAGGAAACACATTTTAGAAATCAATAGTGAAATAGTTAATTTCATCCAAACACGATTATAGTTATTTAATGTTTAAATATAAATGAATACAAGTGTAATATGAACATAGCATGTTCAAGTTATAGCAATATCAGAATATGAATAGTAACCATATTGTAAATGTCAATATATTCAATTAAATTCTTCCTGTAGTTACTGTGAATTTATAAGTGACCTTTGTTATTAAAGCGTAAAGCGAAATCATACTGTGTATATACTTCATTTTATGTATTTATTTTTAAGGAAACTGTTGATTTTATTTAAGCCAGCGCTAGGCAAAAGTTAGATTCCTGATGTTACAAAACTACAATTGCCATTATGCTTTGTCGGACTTTAGAATAGCAAAGCATCATGGAAGTTATATATGCAGTTTTACAACTTCTAGGGAGTCTAGCAGGGCCCTCAGCACCTTCAGCTCCTGTACGTCTGACTTGTCTTCTTAAAACGACTTGTTTTGTTATTTCATCTATTATACTGCGCTGCGCCACTTTATAAATAATAATGATAATCCCAGTCTGGCTCCTGCAAACCACCCAATGATCAGCCACAACATGGAAACCATTGACACTTTTTTTATAAGGGGCACTTGATGGGTAAATGTTTATTATGGGATATATGGCTGGATTAATCTGCTGCTTTTGGTATTCGGATGGATGATAATTGAGACATGCTGCTATGAAAAACAAACTAGGTTTGAACTAAAAAACAAAACATACAATTGGATAACATAGAGACAACAACAGGCAATATTTAATTCTAAATAATGTTGGATCAGCTGCCACCAGCCAAAATACCTGACCTTGGCAACAAAATGATAAGAGGGTGGTCATTACATTTAGGCATGCTGCTTACACCGGGCACAGATTTCTAAAGAGGAAACAAAATAAATTGAGCCAGCAGTGGATTGGGTTTCAAACTGATGCCTGGTATTTGGTGACAATGCAAGGCTTTGCTGGAGCATTTCTCCAGGAAAGAGAGAATTAAAACACTAAAGAGAAGTAGATGAAGAAGTGCTCTTATGTTATTTACTTGTCTGATGTAATTTAGGTCCCTGTGCACTGTGTGAATGATCTTCTAACTTCAACCATTGCAGTAAGGTAACAAAACCTGGTGACAGTATAATTTATAAGTCAAACGTAACGGAAAACCCAAACCAGGGAAAAGTAGATGCAATGCACCGAAATGAGCTCTAGAGACTGAATCAAACTCTTACCAAGAGGGGAGGTGTGATTAAATCTGCATCTGAACTAAATTGATATAGATTGCTCACAAAAGCATCAGATTTGTAAGACACATAACAAAGGGAGGATGATTTAACAGACAACTAAATGCAATTATCTGATGTTAAACATATTGCAGTAAAGGTTTAGAGGAAGAGATGCCTTTCCCCCTTGACGTCACAAAAATCAGTGAATTTAACCAGACAGAGGAGTTTCCATTATGTACATCAGCATGCCCTGCTATGACCTTAGTATATGTTGTGTTTTGGCAGCCCAATTATACAACACAGAAACTACATTGTGCAAAGTCACAGGAAATTCTTTTCAAATTCCTCAGCTTTCTGTAGCACCGGGATGCCTGATATCAATTCTGTGCAAAAACGACATCTGTTACTAACGCACACCACACGCTGTGGTTAGATGATATAAGTTCCCAATGCAGCCTGCAAGGGGAAACCTAGATTCCCCCTCTCCTGGTATGCTTCCTTCCCAATACCCTACATTGAGCCATGTATACATTTTTTAAATATCTTCCCTCACTTGTCCACCCACTACTCCCTCCCACACTGGTTCAGAGTGCACATGTGCTCTGACCTGGTGAAATGGTCCAATCAAATGCTTTGAAATTGACCACGGAGGAGAAAAAAATTATATGGCATGACATTGGACAGGGAGTGGAAGAGCCTCGTCCGGCACTGGGTTGCAGGTAATTTTTCTCTTCTTTTTCAAGGCTTTTTTAATGTAAAAAAGAAAAAAGGGATCAGACAAGCATCAAGTACTAAGTAGGGCATTTTAACATAAAATGATGGTTGGAGTAACCATCTAACAAACTTAAATCATGAAAGATATTTCAACCTTTAACTTTTGCATTAATCTCAGGATTGTGTCTGGAAAAAAAAACATTTGTTTTTTTTCCGCTTCAATCTTTTTTCACTTTTAAAAAGTAGGCATTCAGTAAAATTTGTTTTTGGACATTTTTAGCAAGTTGTGTATATCATATCATGTAAGCATGATTTATCATGTACAATTTGTGTACCTAAAATAGGCCTTGATTTCATATTTTTGAATAAGCTTTTTAAATGATTTAATATTTTGTAATATTGTAAAATAATTTTCTCAAAAAAAATATAAAACAAAATCATGCATCAAAAATATATATAAAAAATGTATATGTTAAATATATTAAAGGAAAACTATAGGATCAGAACACAAACATGTTTTCTTGACCCTATAATGTTAAAACCACCACCTAGTCACCCCTTGCCTCCCTAAATATAGTAAAATCTTACTTATATTCAAGTCTGCAGCTGCTGCCTCTGATCTGCCTGCTTACAGCTGACATCAATAGAACTGACTGTGTGAGACAATCACAATGCTTTCTCATAGGATTGGCTGAGGCTGTTAAGGAAGCAGATTAGGGGCAGAGTCAGTACAAATCAAACACAAATCTGGCCAATTTGCATCTCCTCATAGAGATGAATTGAATCAATGAATCTCTATGAGTAAAGTTCAGTGTCTACATGCAGAGGGCGAAGACACTGAATGGCAGTCCTGCACAGTGTGCAGCACTGCCCCAAGAAACACCTCTAGCAGCCTTCTGATAAGTGGCCAGTGGGGTTTTCCCTGGGTTATAATGCAAACACCACATTTTCTCTGATAAGACAGTGTTTACTACAAAAAGCCTGAAGTGAATGATTCTACTCACCAGAACAAATACAATAAGCTGTAGTTGTTCTGGTGACTATAGTGTTCATTTAAATAATTTTATAGTTTATTTAAAAATATTAAAACATACGATACATTTATTCAACAATATTAAATCAAGGCCATAGTTCTCTGATGAAACAAGCAACTCTCAGAGTTAGTATCATACTTTCTCTATTTCACATTGCATATCCAAATTTGTTTTCCATATTACATCCCTCAAGGTTGCAGTTATGCCCCAGATGTTTATCACAAACAGTGAACGCTCACACGCATCAGAATAATAAACTAGTACTTCCTTTCTAATTTTATAAGTATACATTAAGAAACCCTATAACATGATGCAATTCATCACCCGATCCTTAAACTATTATTTACCATAACAGGAAACAGCAGTCATCTTATATAGCCTTAAATCAAATCTTAAAATGCATGTCTAGCTTTCAAGTAAAGTAAAACAAGATGTAAGGACTGAATATTGTGAAATGGATTATTAAAGTCTAGCAATCTTTTGTATGTGAGCTACATAAGGAACTGGTAGAACTAAGGGCAAACATGCAGGCTTTTGATGTAGCTTAACATTATGTTTATTAAAATACTTTAAGCCAATTATTCTTGCTTTATTATTCAGGATTATATAGTTGGGGTTGGTATGCTATAGACAAATCTATTATTAGATTCTTAGATAGTGATGTTCCGAGCGGTTCGCCGCGGACTCATCATTGAGTAAACTTTGACCCTGTACCTCACATTCCAGCCAATCAGCAGCAGACCCTCCCTCCCAGACCCTCCCACCTCCTGGACAGCTCACTAAGAATGCAGCTTCACAATGGATGCTGTCCAGGAGGTGGGAAGGTCTGGGAGGGAGGGTCTGCTGCTGATTGGCTGGAATGTGTCTGCTGACTGTGAGGTACAGGGTCAAAGTTTACTCAATGATGAGTCTGCGGCGAACCGTTCGCGAACCGTTCGGGACATCACTATTTTTAGAATATGAGCTTACTCTGCCTGCATACCCTGGGAAGTTTGCCTAAATCTAGTTGAGCTTAGACCCAAAATTTTATTGTTGGGTTGTCTCCGCTGGCTTAGTGGTGTTATTGTCATAGAAGTTACAGTAACATACACCTGGCACTGTATTTGGCACTGTACTTTATTTTGCATTGTTTTTATACATCTATATATTGTGCTCGACAAATCCATAAGTCCATGTAATATTTGGAAGGTTATTTGGAATGTACATTTTTGATAATATTACATAATAATGTAACCAGACATGAACACACACACGTGATTTATATAAAATTGACTAGGGCCATGCACTTGCCAGCTCAAAAGTACTCATCTGCTGGTAAAATGATACTCATCTGTTGGCAATATTGCTTCATGTAAAGAATATTTTAGGTGATAGAGCCACTTTAGATTTGTGCAGAAATTCTAGTTTCCTTTCATATCTGAAGCAGCAAACTATGCAAGCACAGAAAAGCAATAAAAGCACTAACAGATGTAGTGACAGCTGCTGGCCAGCCAATAAGTCAGAGCTGCAGGTATCTGATCATCATCAGGCTGTGTTAAAACGCAAGAGACCAATTGATGAATGAAATGATAAGCAGTTACAGTTTGGTAAGCTGACAACTTTGCTTTTTAGAGACGAACTCCCAAACACATTTTATATTTCTAACATAAATGAGATAGCAGACTTGCTTGTGTGATTATTTGCAGGGTGTCCACAATTCCACAGCTGGTAATATACACATGCAGATCAGTACATACAGGTAACATCCCAATGAAAATGTATTTTTGTTTACCAACGTAGTAAATATAACCCCAAAGATGGGGTATTTTTGTCTGCATGTTTACTTCGGGAATAAATAAAAAAACATCTTGCAAAAGATGCAGACCTTCTGTCTGCAGCCTTTTCCGAGCCCTCCCCTCTTTCCTGAAAGTCTGGACTGGGGAATACGCCAATCAGGGAATACACCAATCAGAAAGAGGAAGGTAGGCTTGCTCAGAAACATGAGAAACATGAGAAAACCTGCCTGGCTTTCTGAATGACAGTCAAAGAGGTATTTCTACTCCCAGTTATAAAAGTGCTGAATTTTATTGAAATCAGAACTTTTATAAACTGTCACAAATATGACAAACTCCAGACACATGACGTATGTCAGCAAGCTGAAGTTCTTTATGTGTGTAGAGTGGTCCTTTAATATTGTAATTTAGACAGAAATAGGACTCAGTGAAGTTGTTATGGGAGCAGGAATGTCTGGGCACCATCTTACCTTTAGGTATTAGGCTGCTTTTCAACACTTAAGCCGCAAATGCCTCGGTTTAAAGGACCACTCTAGGCACCCAGACCACTTCAGCTTAATGAAGTGGTCTGGGTGCCTGGTCCTTCTAGGGTTAACCCATTTTTTCATAAACATAGCAGTTTCAGAGAAACTGCTATGTTTGTGAGTGGGTTAAGCCTTTCCCTATTTCCTCTAGCGGCTGTCTCATTGACAGCCACTAGAGGCGCTTGCGTGCTTCTCACTGTGATTTTCACAGTGAGAGCATGCCAGCGTCCATAGGAAAGCATTATGACGCACGTGCGCATTCAGCCGACGGGGAGGAGAAGAGAAGGATCGGAGGAGGAGAGCTCTCCGCCCAGCGCTGGAAAAAGGTAAGTTTTTACCCCTTTCCCCTTTCCAGAGCCGGGCAGGAGGGGGACCCTGAGGGTGGGGGCACCCTCAGGGCACTATAGTGCCAGGAAAACGAGTATGTTTTCCTGGCACTATAGTGGTCCTTTAACATTGTTGGATAAGCTTTCCAAATTGTTTAAACGTTTTCCAACATACTGAAATATCAAAAAAATATATCATATGTAAAACAATATATCAGTATATCAAAATATTACAAAATTTAAATAATTTCCATAATTTTAAATCATTTTAAAAATGTATCCAAAAATATTGAATAGAGGCCAGAATTGATCTACTCTTGCATGCCTCCTCTCTTCTTCCTTAAAGCCGCTGACGTGATCAGGAAGGTTTGCCAGGTGACTGGTAATAGAAGGACACTATCATTGTAATAGTTTATACAAATACTGTCAGTGGGTGGCCAGTGATAGACTGAGAGCATCAATTCATGTACCCATGAGTGTGCATTATGAAAATTGGCGTTTCACTAAGTCTAAATGTGTCATGCCAATACATACACAATACATACATATTTATTGATCATAAATTGGTGGCAGAAATGTGTTTGTTTGGACACAATTCCTATTCTAGAGGCCTATACTCATTTATTTGCTTGATTGTCGATGGATTAATTCCATTTTAACTATGATTTAAAACATTGAAACTTTGCTAGCTCTAAATTGTTCCTAATAATTCTTGCCATGCA